GAGGGATGAGCAAGATAGGTCCGCTCGCGCCATATCTGACATTCCACCCCTCCCATCCATCCCTTCCCATGGCACCGGATTCTTTTCTATGCCCGTGCTGGGGTGTTCTAGATGACACCTCAAAATCAGGAAGCGGGGTTTTGTGCATTGGACGCAGAGGAGGCGGATGTCGCGGATGAGCAGGAGGAGGAGGAGGAGGAGGAGGAGGAGGAGGAGGAGGAGGAGGAGGAGGAGGAGGAGGAGGAGGAGGAGGAGGGAGGAGGGAGGAGGAGGAGGAGGAGGAGGAGGAGGAGGAGGAGGGAGGGAGGAGGAGGTGGAGGAGAATGAGGGGGAGGAGGAGGAGGAGGAGGAGGAGGAGGAGGAGGAGGAGGACGAGCAGGAGGAAGAACATGATGATGAGGAAAGAGGAGCAGCAGAAGCAGGAGCAAGAGGAGTAGGAGAAGCAGGATGCCCAGGGCAAGGCGGAGTGTGAGAAAAGGAGGGGGACGGCGGCGACGAGGAACGAAGCAGATACAGAAATATGGGCCGCGCTGGGGCGAGATCTGACGTCTTACCGATGGGAGCGAATCGCCGATCATGTAACGCGGCCACCGCTGCAGCGGAAAGCTGTCCAATTGAACAGGCAAGTCGAGCAAATCAACATATGACATTCGGTGTGTGAAGAAATCAGTTAACGGACAGGGGCACCTCCGTGCAACACAGTGCCAGGGGAGAGAGGAGAAGAGAGTAGCACTCACACTGTGTATGGTCAGGAACTTCGGCTTAGCGTGTCGCGCTGTCGGTTCTGGCCCACCACGTTTCGGCGCGACACGCTATTCACATCCCGATCCCCATTCGTCCGCGCCCCGAGCTTTTCCGAGCCTCCCGCCCCGCGGAGCGGGGCGACACATTATCCGCTCGCAGGGCATGAAATGTCGCTGGGGCCGCATTGCAGTGCTCACGCTGTGTAACTATCGGGGGCGTTCAAGAGGGGGTAATGGCCAGGGTGGGTCTGGATATCATGGTCGGGGCCATGCTATCTCCCGGACTTCCTGCCCCCCTCGCCTCACTTCAGTGCGTCC